AAAAGTGAAAATGGATTAATCATTAAGAAATATAATAGAACATAAAAATATTAGAGACTTTTCATTAATATTGAGAAAATATAAGTACACAGGAAATGCATTATTTGGCTCCATAAACGGTGAGCAATTAAACTACTTACTAAAATATAAGGACATGTGTATTTTTGAAGTGTCAGTGTTTGTATTTTAAATCTTTTTTTAAAGTATAGTGCAATGTAGTGAATGCAGACAAAATGTTCCTATAACATATTTACACAGATTTTGCTTTTAGATAGGAGTCTTGCAACCATGCCCAGGTTGGTTTTGAACTTCAGGGCTGAAGTGAAGCCGATGCAGTAGCTGGGATTACAGACACCCACCAATTTATAATATTAGTTTTAAAGGGCTCAGATGAAGGAAAAAAGAATGGATTTAAGATGAATAAAAAATAATCATCCTTTGTCTGGCTTGTTCCTTCTTCCAAATATATGGCAGCAACATAATGACAGTAAAAACTGCCCTAAAAATCTGTAACATAAAAAAAAAAATCCCTTATACGTTACTCAAAAAATTACCTAAATACCTCTCAAAATCAAAACAAAAAGCAAAGTAAAAAACAAAACAGGACATACTTGTAAAAATACCTTTAGGTTGTATCTTAGCACTATTTGTTTTTTGAATAAAATATTAAGTTTTAAGCATTTATTTAATGTTTACATACATTAGGCCTTACCATGCTATGAGGCACTGTTCTAAGTATCTTACAAATAGCACTTTATGTAATCCTCATAGCAATATAAGAAAGCTGGGTGTGGTGGCTCACGCCTGTAATTCCAGCACTTTGGAAGGCCCAGGCTGGTAGATTGCTTAAGTCCAAGAGTTCAAGACTAGCTTAGGTAACATGAGGAAACCCTGTATCTACAAAAAACAAAAAAAATTAGCTGGGCATGGTGGCCTATACCTGTGGTCCCAACTACTCAAGAGGCTGAGGTGGGAAGATCATTCGAGCCTGGGAGATGAAGGCTGCAGGGAGCTCTAATCTTATCACTGCTTTCCAGACTGCGTGGCAGAGTAAGACCCTGTCTTAAAAAAAAAAAAAAAGCTACCACTATTATACCCCATTTTATAGACTAGGAAACTGAGGCACAGAGGTGACACTAGGCCAAGATCATAAAACAACTAGTGGAGCAGAGATTCAAATCCAGGCCATCTGGTGCCAGAGTCCAAATGTGTCATCACTAAGCTATTATGTAAAAGTATTTACTTCAAATATTAATATTTGATAACAACTTTGAAGTTTATAAATGTCCACAACCTGTTAGAAGTACAAAAGTAATCACAAATAACTTTTCTAATACAGAATTTAAATTGTAAAAGATTTCCTTGACTAGATTTATGACAAATACATAGGTAGACAAAAATAGGGATAAGAAAGAAAAAGACTGCTCTTTAACTGCATTTGTCATACATTTACTACTTGGGTAAGCAAAAAAAACTTGAACTCTCTCTTTTGAAAGACATAATTTACAAATATTAATTTATATATTACTTAGAGAGAAAGCATAGTGCAACTAAACTAAGCTCAGTCTAACTAAACTAAGCATAGTACAACTAAACTAAGCACACTAAAACTCACTATAAGAAAAAAAAAGAAAAGAAAGGGAGCTAGTTTAAAACTCACTATAAAGAAAAAGAAAAAAGGAAAAGAAAGGGAGCTGACTTTAAAGGTTCTACATGGGTTTGCACTTCACATGTTCTGATGCTGCAGATATGAGAAGTTGTAGGTCTAACATAATTTATGTCTTCTCTTAGGACATTTTGGCATTCGTGAATTGACAAGTTTGGAATAACAACTATGCAAGTCACTTCTAATCTTAAAATTCCAAGTACATGAAATACATATTATTAAGTACTCAGACACACACATTGTCAAAAGCTGATCTTGTGGCAAAAAAGGAAATAGAGCAGTCAGTCAGGTCCCCACCATGGCACTGACAGCAAGTCTGTTCTCAAGATTAGTCTCTAAACTGACCAATAAGTCCGACCATGAAATGTTTGCCAACAATTAAGTAAAGAAGACCTCTCTTGAGAAATTTTTCTTAAGTTTCACAAACATTTTGATAGTTCCTGGAATGTTTGTGGCCCTCCCCTCACTGCATCGCTCTCTCATTTTGTTGGCTTATACATGTTAGTAAGGTCAATATATAGTCAACTCACTTTTCTCTGCCTCTTGGCCCAATTTAACACAGCTGATCCTATTTTCAAATGCCTTCATCTGATTTTCTTCTCACCTCTTAGGCCATACGCCCTTTGTAGGTCTTTTATGTGGTCATTAATGTTGAAATTACCTATTTTTTACTTAACCACGTTTTTCATCTGTAAAATGGGTGTAATCCTAAGATTTTCTTCATAGTGTTGTGAGAATTAAGTAAGATTATATATGTATAGATTTTGGCACAGTATCCAGGACATAAATTCTCTATAAAGGTTAGCTACTATTACTACTATCAACTCAAGACTAGATTAGCGAAATTGTGTCCTGCCTTCCCATGCTTCCTCTTCCTCATCGTCCCTCTTCTACTCACAATATAACTAGTTTTATTTTCATTTATTTATTTTTTGAGACAGCATCTCACTCTCTCGCCCAGGCTGGATGCTGTGGTGCAATCATAGCTCACTACAACCTCCACGTCAAGTGATCCTCCCACCTCAGCCTCCCAGGGAGCTGGGACTACAGGTACATGCCACCATGCCTGGCTCTTTTTTTTTTCTTAGTAGAGATGGAGTTTCATCATTGTTGCCCAGGCTGGTCTCAAACTCCTGAGCTCAAGCCATACACCTGCCTTGGCCTCCCGAAGTGTTGGGATTACAGGAATGAGACACGATGCCAGGCCTAGAGAGTTCTAATAAGTGCAAATCTGATCATGTGCCCCTCTATCTAGAAACTCGTTAATATTTTCATAGAGCGTTTAGAATACAGACTCATCTCTTACTACTTTTGCCCCCTAACCCCTATGCTTTAATCAAACTGATTTCAACCTTCTTGACAGTCGCTGCTCACTCCATGAGGGCATTTGTCCACAATATTTCCCCTGTTTAAAACCCTCTGCAAGTTACAGTTTGGTCCTAGTTTTCCTTTAGACCTTTGTTGAAAAGTCACTTCCATCTTGACTAAATCTAGCCTACTTTGCATTCTCTTTATACCATGTTCCTCTCTCCTAGAACTTCTATTTGCAGTTACATATTTATATGAGTGACTACTATTTATTTTTTCTACACATTTGTGTTTTCTCCAATGGACATCTCAGACTAAGCTCCTGATATTCATCCCACCCAAAGCTGTTCCTTCAGCCTCCTTCTCCATCTCAGAAAATAGCAATACCAGTTGCTCAGGCCAAAACCCTTGGACTCTCTCACATTCCACATCCATCAGCAAATTCTATTGTGTCCCCAGAATTCAACTACTTTCCCCCATTTCCACTGCTACCCACTGTGGTCAAGGCCCTATCATTGCTTCCTGGATTGTTGTAATATCTCTTAACACATCTTGCTTCTTTCACCCAACCACTTAACCCTTGCCTACCTACAAGACAGCTAGATCAACCCTTAAAAGTGGCAGATCACGTCATTCCTTCACTGAAACCTTCCAACAACTTGCCATCTGCCAAGGACTGAATTGTGTCCCCCACCAAATTCATATGTTGAAGCTCTAACACCTATATGACTGTATTGCAGATGGTGCTTTCAAGGAGGTAATTAAGGTTAACTGACATCATCAGGATGAAGCCTTGATCCCACAGAACGGGAGCCCTTATAAGAAAAAGAAGAGACAATGCTCTCTCTTTAGTGAGGAGACATTGAGAAGGTACTGTCTGCAAGCCGAAAAGAAAACCGTACCTGATAATGCTGGCACTCTGATCTCAGACTTTCCAGCCTGCAGAATCAGGAAAAAACGTATTTCTATTGTTTGAGCCACCCAGTCTATGATATTTTGTTACGGAAGCCTGAGCTGACCAACACATCATTCTATTCAAAGTCAAGTATGTCTAAGAGCCATAAAGGTCCTAAACATTCTGATCTATTATGTCCCAGATCCTTAGCTCTCTGATGTAATTGCCTTTGATTCTTCCCATCTCTTAAGCAAGTTCCAGCCAAAGTGGCCTACATGCAATTCCATGAGCATGCTAGGCATGCTCCTACTTTGGGGTTTTTGGTTTTCCTCTGCTTGAAACATTTTTTTCCCAAAAATTCACATCGCTCACTTCCTCACCCAAATGTCACCTTCTCAGTGAGGCCACCCTATGGAAAATTTTACGATCCCCACTTCACACTAATATCCCATTTCCCTTTCCTTAGTACTCACAACTTGGATGCTATGTATTTTATCTAGTTTTCTTGTCCATTGTTTCTCTCTCTCTTACTAGAATGAACTCCATGAAAGATGGGATTGTCTGTTTTGCTCATCGCTATATCCCATAAATAAAGAGCAGCTTATAGCAGTTGTTCAATATTCTTTCAACTAAATGAATGTTGAATTCTAATAGTGGCAGAATTAGTAGTGGAGCTGAAAGGTACTACATATATCAACTATTAATGTAGCAGTTCCCTAGCAGAAAACTGCACTGCTTAAAGGACCACCTGATTTTTCTGGCCTCCTCTAGTTATTACTAAAGCTCAAAAGGAGCTTTAAAAATCTTAATGCAACAGCTGTTTTTCCCTCTCACCATCTTTTAAAATAGAAATGATAAAATAGGCTGAAAAGTTGTCAAGTTCAAATAAGATCATGGTTATGACAATTTTTTGAAAATTGCCTGGTTGCGGCTTTTACTTACAGCATTTTCAAATAGTTCTGCCAACTCTGTGGCTCTTTCTTCACGTTTCAAGTGTTCAGCAAACGATGGTGTTCGTCCCCATAAGTCAAGTTTAAAAATACAAAAATAAAGTACATTAAAACCAAGTGATTGGAGGATGCCATTCATTGATTTTACTTAGGACTTTGGGAATAATTTAGTTTTTTAAAATTTCTGCTGCTAAGAAAGTTGGAAAACAGTTACATTCCCTTAAATTGTACGTAAGAGAAAATAGACCTGCAGAGGAGTACCTTTCTGTTTCTATATAGACAGAGGAATTTTGCACAACCCAAATCATGCAGAAACCTCCTGGTAAGGATTCCCCGGGTAGTTACTGCGGACATTGTATTCTGAGAGATGAGCTTCTTACCACTTTTGGAAATGCCTTAAATTAAAACTCGTCTTGAAACAACATGACATCTCAACGAGGCTCCCTTCTCACCTTAGAACATCAGCTTTTAAAATAAAGGTGTCATCAGAAGTGTGGAGACACCCACAGCATCACAACTGGCATTAAATTAATCTCTGGTTATGCCAACCTAGGTCTGCCCGGGAGGGTGAGTCTACCGCTCGAAAGCGGCACAGAGGAAATCCTGCCTCCCTCGGGTTCAGGCCCGGAATTAGGAGCGGAGATTCAGGGCAGAGGGCCAGAACTCGGAGCAAACCAGGCTGTGCAGCACACCTAGACCGCGGCTCCGGAAGCGGCAGCGGCCCCGACCGGAAAGCCCCCCGGCATCGCCCGCAGGAACCACGCCGGGCCTGCGGCTCCAGCCAAACCTCGGGTACCACGCGCCTAAGTGGGAAGCGGCACTGACGCCTGCAGCATCTCGCGAGATTTCGCCGGCTCAGCCCAAGTACTGCGAGTTCACCAAAGCGGGGAAAAAAAACCAGCGGGCGAAAGCCTGTGAAGCCCAGGCTGGGGCACTGGGGAGGCAGCTGCCGCGGGAGCATCAGCTACTGGCGTGAGGCGAGGCAGGGCCGGTGCACCGTCCACAGCCCCGTGACCTGGGCTGCCGGTCCACTGACGCGCGGCCTCGGGGCGGAGAGAGGGGAGGCGGCCGGTGAGCTCGCTTCTCTTCGCCGCAGAGCGCGGCGGGGGAGGGAGGTGAAGGCGTGGGTGGAGGGCGACGGAAGAGGAGGTAGCGGCGCGGAGATCCTACCGGCCACATCACTGAGGCGGCGCGTAGCCGCGCCTGCTCCCCAATTGCGTCGCTCGTGTTGCCCGCACTGTCCAAGGCCCGGCGCGGACTGGCTGGTCGCCATCCTCTCACGGGCCGCTTTCGCGTTGGGTCGCGCAGGAGCCGCGAAGGAGCGGTTCGCTGAGGAGCGTCCGCCGCGCGCCGCTGCGGGTCCGTGGGTAGGCGGGCTGAGGGGCGGGGGAGCCTCCGGCCCCGCCTCCCGCGTGCTGCTGCTCCAGCCGCCGCCGCCGCCGCCGCAGCGGCTCCGCCGAGGCTTTAAACAGCGGGGCCCGCCCCGCGCCCGCCGCACTCGCGCGCTCGCTCGGCTACCGGTGGCTTTTGTGCCCGCCCGGCTAGTAGCGGCCAGCGGGCGGCGGGGAGAGTGACTCCTTCACCTGGCTTTGCGGCCGAGGCCACCGCGGGTCAGGGGTGCGGAGGGCGCGCTGCCGGAGACGTCCGCCGGGCTCGGCAGTTCCGCCGAGGGTCGGGCAGCGATGGAGCCGGGGCCCACGGCGCCCTCCTCCGGCGCCCCGGGACTGGCCCGGGTTGGGGAGACGCCGCTAGCTGATGCGCCGGCCGCCGCCAGGGTGGAACTGCCCGGCACAGCTGTGCACTCGGTGTCGGAGGATGCTGCGCCCGGGAGCCGGGACAGCGGCGAGGTCCTGGGTGAGGGCGCTGCGGCGGGCAGAGACGGGTTGGGCAGACCCTTGGGGCCCACCCCGAGCCAGAGCCGTTTCCAGGTGGACCTGGTTTCCGAGAACGCCGGACGGGCAGCTGCTGCGGCGGCGGCGGCGGCGGCTGCGGCTGGTGCTGGGGCGGGGGCCAAGCAGACCCCCGCGGTCGGGAAAGCCAGCGGCGAGAGCGGGCTGGCTAAGGGCAGCGAGGAAGCCAAGGGGCGCTTCCGCGTGAACTTCGTGGACCCAGCTGCCTCCTCTTCGGCTGAAGACAGCCTGTCGGATGTGGCCGGGGTCGGAGGCGAAGGGCCCAACGTGAGCTTTCAGAACGGCGGGGACACGGTGCTGAGCGAGGGCAGCAGCCTGCACTCCGGCGGCGGCGGCAGTGGGCACCACCAGCACTACTACTATGATACCCACACCAACACCTACTACCTGCGCACCTTCGGCCACAACACCATGGACGCTGTGCCCAGGATCGATCACTACCGGCACACAGCCGCGCAGTTGGGCGAGAAGCTGCTCCGGCCCAGCCTGGCGGAGCTTCACGACGAGCTGGAAAAGGTGAGCTCGCCCAGCCCTTTTTTTTTCCCCCAGCCCCTGGTGCATGCTGACCTCGGGATGTGGCTGCAGACTCTTCCCGGGTGAGCTGGCGAGAGTTGACATGCACGACTTGCTGGCATCTCTGGATTCAGCTGTCAAGGGTGGAATTGCAGAGGAATGTAACTTAATCTCTTAAAAGTTTGCAGCGGGTTTGGCTAGTTATGTGATACTGGAGAGACTGCCTTTAACAACCTTCCCCATCCAGTTATGTATCTCGCGTGCACTTTCTCACCCACGCTTAACAGTCACCACCCCTCTGAATGACAATTGTGTTTGTCGGCCCCTGAGAAGGGAATGTGCGGGAGGTTTAGGTGAGGACCTCTCTTGGGAGAGGTTGGAGAGTACCTATCAGCTATGTCCTTCTTAAAGATTGTATTATGTGGCTTATGTACGCCTATTAGGGATCCCAAGAGTGGGGACGTTGGTGTTTGAAGGAAAATTTTAACGGGGTGTGTTTACAGTCTGAATTATTAATGCTCAATTCTTGCAATCTTGAAGATGTAAAGGATCATAGCAATCTTAAGTTTTGGGACACGCTGTTCCTGATAATGACATAAATCTATTTTTTTTTTTTTTTTGCAATGAAAACGTTTTGGGAAAGATCTATATTTTAAAAAAAGGTGGGGGGGGGAGGAACGAGTCTTTAACGAAAGAAGGGAAACAGGAGAATTGATTTTTCTATAGAGGATGACCAGAAAGACCTTTGGGATCTTTGCGATAAGCTGTTATACTTTGTAAATAGAAAATCCCCATAAACTCATTTATTTTTGTAACTCTGTTTTTAGGGTCACATAAGACTTATTTCTTCAGTGTTCAATATCATTGTTTTGAGATAACATTGGTACTTTCGAGATTTTATTAATGTTTAACTTCGTTATGAGCCGGGATTACTTGAAGACTTTCCTTTAAAAGTTTATAATTACTACATAGATGGAATTTTGTGAACAAGAGGATGGTATCACATAGGTTGAAATGATGATCATAGTGTGGAAAAGTTTAAATCCAGTATGTAATTTCTTTTGGATATAATTATTTGATCTCATACAGTCATTTCATACAAAACTGTACTTGTCCCAGTGTTTGATAATGTAACACTCACACAGAGGTAATTACAGAGGTCCCAACTCTTACAGCTTATTGATTGTTTAAAAGCCTGACATCATTTAGCTTTAGATAATACTATTCTTGTTATTGCATTGTGGTATTTTTTCATAATCAGAAGCAAAACAATGTCTACAACGTTTCTTTTATTCATACTCCTGTTGTTTCTTTCAAGTCTCTTCTTTTTTTCTTCTCGAAATCAAAAATCATTGTAGACAAAAGTAGATGAGCAGGCAATTTACCTTTTCTTAGAACATTTTTACTAATGAAAATACTATACAGATATATTTTAGATTTATTTTACCAAAGCTGAGTAGGTGAACAGTAAAATGATCTGTATTTGCCCATACATTTTAGAAAGACTTCCAGTTGAAAGTTATTAATCTTGAGCTTATATACTTCCTAAGGAAGTTTTTGCTCAACAAAGCACTTCAAATTATCTAAAACTTTAGATTGTGTGTGTTTGTGTTTTTTGCTTGACTTTTTGGTTCAAAGTGTTTGAAAAACAATACCTGTATTGTTAGCTGTACGGTAATTGAAGAAGTCACTCAACCTCGTGGCTTGAACTTTCCAGGGTTATCATGAAGATTAGAAAAAATGCAATAAAAGTGATCATGTTCAGTGTGTGAAAAATAATGGCTAGAGTAGTTATTATTTCCCTCTTACAGTGGCCCTTCAGAAGACTCTAGGATCCCAATTTTATATTCTTTTAATTCTTATGTTATTAGGTGAATATAGTATATAAAATGTTATATCCAGTTTCCTTTATGCAACAGGTAGTTAATTCTTCATAGTTTTTTTACCTTTTGCCACTCATAATCTTTATGGCCACTGTTTTATTGGGTTAACTAATAACTACATATTGAAGATAATTTTGCTTAGAATTTTAGCAGATGGATTAAAGAAATGGTGTTAAGTAGTAGAAATATGACTACATACCACTGTTGAAGGAGGTACAGACAGGTGGGGTGGTAAAGTAAGTTGGCTGGATTCCCGGAAGTTGTCCCTTACTGTCTAAATTGACTTCTACCTCTCTAACACTTTCTCTAATGATTCTAGCCTTCAGTGAATTATAATATTTAGAATTTCTGTAACACCTAATTCTAGCAGTTGACTGATTGGCATGTACTCTACTTTGGTCTGCTAAGTGCGTAACTATCTACCATGGGACTAACTCTGTTGGGAACTATAGAAGAACAAAAGAAGTAAAAGACCTCTGAAACTTGTTAGGGAAAAGGACTGAATTATCTTCTCTCCAGTTGAATTCCTTTCATTATCCATCACTGACTTTTTAGAAGTATTTTACCTAGACGTCCAACTGTAGGGGAATAGATGAATATCCTTGGTGCATCTTGCTGTGTTATATAGCCATTCTGGTTAGTAACAGCACTCATGAGTTCTCCATTTATTAGTTATTGGGGAAGGGAGTATCATAGATGTTGGCAACATGGTTGTGACACTGTGGGATTATGTGGTGATTAGCAAACCTGCTTCTGCCTAGATAGACATTAACAAAATAGTTGGACAGATAACATAATAACTTTTTTTTTCGGTATTATATAACAAAAGGATGCTTGTAAAGATATAATAGGACCTAATTTTAACTGGGTTTTGGGAAGGCCTTTTTTGAGAAGTATGACATTGAAGCTGAGACCTGAAGGGTAAGTTAATGATTGGGTAGAATGACAGTCCAGACCAATGGGACAGCGTACGCGAAGGTAATGCGATGAGAAAGAGTGGTGTATTCACATAACTAAAAGGAGATCAGTGTTTTTCATTATAAACGTATTGGGATCCTATTGAAGAATTTTGTGTGAGGTAGCCACATGATCCATTTTGTTTTACTATCTCTAGGCTCTGGGTGGAGAATGGATTGGCAGGGGCAAGAATGGAAGCCAAGAGACTCAAATGATTACTATGGTCTGGGTGAGAGATAGTAAAGGTTGGTGGCAGAAAGGATTGGATGTGGGGGTGATATAGAAGCTGACTTCCAGATTTTAAACTTGAGAAAGCTGACTTCCAGATTTTAAACTTAGTAGATGTTGGTACTGTTGCTTAAGGTGAGAAAGATTGGGGGAGGAATAGATTTGATGGTTGGGAGAAGTTTGTATTTCAGGCTATTCTGTTTGAGTAGCCTGTAAAGACATTTATTCCAAGTGTGTATGTTTACATATAAAGATTTAGTTGTCTAAAGTCATGGACTAAATTACTTAGGGAGAGTGGTAGGTAAGAGAACAGAAAATAGGATCTGGTATTGGACCTGGAGATTGTTTAAAGTTCTGTTCGAGATCGAGGAGCCCCTAGCAAAAGAAATTAAGGAAGAGCTGCCATACTGTCAGATAATCTGGAGAGCAGTGTTGGGGGAAGCTGAGAGAAAATTGTTTTTAAAAAGGCAGAAATTCTTCAAAGCAAATGCCAGGAATTGATTTTAAAATATGTATACGTACACACAGAACCCCCCCCCCCCCCCCCCACACACACACACAGTGGAAACTCACCGTATGGCTATTTGGCCCCACAGGAAGAAATAAAAAGTGGAGCATAACAAGGTAGTATTTGATAGACATCTTCAACGTGTTTGATGGAATACAAGATTATCAAATGTGGAAAGTAGAGTGGTGGACAATCCATACTAGCTCTGAGTGGATTTAAAGCATTATTAAAATAGTTTTTGTTTTTGTTTTTTGTTTTACTGTTTTGACCGCTAAACCATAATTTCTAATGTTTTTGTTTTTGAAGATAGCATTACTCTTGCAGTTGTCCTTGGGCCAAGGTTTAGGAGCCTTTTGCTGGCAGTATGTCAAAGGTTTCCATATGGTTCCTTTATTTTTGCCTTTCTCATTAGCAAGGGGAAAGGTCAAGAGAGCAACTGTATTGTCTTTTATGTGTCACATTGCTGTTGAATTTTCATTAATACTTAAGAAACAGGTCTTAAACACATTTTGCTCAAGATAAAATGGGCTATTAGAAGAAATTGGCTGGGTGCAGTAGCTCACGCCTGTAATTCCAGCACTTGGGGAGGCAGAGGGGGACAGATCACCTGAGGTCAGGAGTTTGAGATCAGCCTTACCAATGTGGTGAAACCCTGTCTTTACTAAAAATATAAAATTAGCCAGGTGTGGTGGCACATGCCTGTAATCCCAGCTACTCGGGAGGCTGAGGCAGGAGAATTGCATGAACCCAGGAGGTGGTCGTTGCAGTGAGCCAAGACTGCACCATTGCACTCCAGCCTGGGCAACAAGTGAAACTCCATCTCACACAAAAAAAAAAAAGAAAGAAAAAAAGAAAAGAAACAGAAGACATTGCTTAAAAGCCACTGATATAGAAAGAGCAGCTAGAGGACAGGCACCATGGTAGGAGCCTGTTATCCCAGCTACTTGGGAGGCTGAGGTAGTAGGATTGCTTGAGCCCAGAAGTTAGAGAGTGCACTGTGATCATGCCTGTGAACAGCTAGTGGTCTTCAGCATAGGCAACACAGCAAAACCCTGTCCAAAAGAAAAAGTAGTACAGCTGGATTTGGATTTCACATCCAGGTTTTTCTGACTTGAATGCTAGGACGTAGTAGCAACAGGTTCTTCTCATTTTCTCTCTTCTTTTCTGTCCCTTAGACCTGTTCTAAGATAACAAAGATGTTGAGGGGGACCTCTTGGGGATTACCACCACCATTTCTCTACCTTGAACTCCTGAGAGTTGAATGATTATGTAACTGACAGAAATGAGGAGATGTAAAGATTTAAATGTTGACTATTATGACTTCTTTATTAGCATCTTTATGGTTTTTTTGTCTTCATACAGAGAATAGGCACTTAATACAGATTTGTTCATGAAATGTACAAATTAGGTGAGCAGTTCCTGTCACT